CGAGGGGCTGCTCGGGGCAAGGGGGGTCGTGGGGGTTGAGGCTGTTGCTCCTCCGTGCCCAGCACGCGCCTCTGCTCCACAGAAATACTACCCGCCGGACTTCGATCCCGCGAAGATCCCGAAGCTCAAGCTCCCGAAGGACCGGCAGTATGTGGTGCGGCTCATGGCTCCCTTCAACATGCGGTAAGAGGCAGCTCTGGAGGAGGGGAGCGCGCCTGGCGTTCGCCTGGCTCCATAGCGAGCAGAGGAGCTGCCCCAAGTGGGGCTGCGTCCCCCTGGAGAGGTGCTGGGAGGAATTTGGGGTGTCCTTGAAGAACACATGCAGAATTTACAAAGGATAGAAACAACCGTTGGGCAGAACCTGCGCTGACACAGCCTGAAAATCCCCTGGGCTTTGCTCAGTCTTTGTGTTTCCTTCCTTGATGCGCTACAGACTTCCCTTGTGCCGTTTCTAGGTGCAAGACGTGTGGGGAATACATCTATAAGGGGAAGAAGTTCAATGCCCGCAAGGAGACCGTGCAGAACGAGGTGTACCTGGGGCTGCCCATCTTCCGCTTCTACATCAAGTGCACGCGTTGCTTGGCGGAGATCACCTTCAAGGTGGAGTTTCTTTGGATGGTTCTGGGTTTTCTGGGCTCTTGGGATGTCCCAGCAAAGAAGGAATTGGAGCTTGTGCAATTTGGAGCAGTCTATAGCCCTGAAATGTCTCTTATCACAGGGGCAGGGGATAGTGACAAATTATCTGTAGGAGAACACGGGGGTGTAGGTGGTTGCCTGTGTGTGAGATGAGTGAAACAACACAGAGAGATCAGGAGAGATCAGGAAAACACTCCTGTGTGGCTCTGATGTTTTTAGGCAGTGTCTGGAGTAGGATTCCCCCTGTACAATGATGTTGCTTCTTCCATAGACAGATCCTGAGAACACGGATTACACCATGGAGCACGGGGCCACTCGCAACTTCCAAGCGGAGAAGCTCCTGGAGGAAGAGGAGAAGAGAATGCAGAAGGAGAGGGAGGATGAAGAGCTGAACAACCCCATGAAGGTACTGGCATGTGCCCTTCCCTGCAACACACAAACCTACTGCCCTCTCCAGCGCCTTTCCTGCGCAGAGCGGGTGACTTGGGTAGCTCTCAGCTTAGTTCTTCAGGCTCCTAAGGTATTGCTGTGCTCCAGAGCAATCCTTGGAGCCAAAACAGACAGACAGGAGCCGTTTTTCTGCTCCTAGGAGTTTTTTTCCAGGCTGCAACTTGTGACAGGCTGCACTTTGCTCCTGTCATGCATGTTAAGGTATGAAAGTTAGGCTTGTTTGTGCTTTCTGAGCTGTCCTTGGCGTAGGGGCTGTGTCAGACCTTGCTGGTGGGCCCTGTCACTTCACATCACCTTGGCTTCCTCACCCAGGTCCTGGAGAATCGAACCAAGGACTCCAAGTTGGAGATGGAGGTTCTGGAGAACCTGCAGGAGCTGAAGGAGCTCAACCAGCGCCAGGCGAACGTGGACTTCGAGGCCATGCTGAAGCAGTACAAGGAGTACGAGGAGGAGCAGAAGCGCAAGGAGCAAGAGGAGGATGAGCAAGAGATGAAGTGAGTGGCCTGGATGTGTCCCTGGGCGGGTGACACCGTCGGAGCTGACCCTGGGCTGTGGCTTGACCTCTCCTCGGCATCTCCAGGGCCCTGACGTGAGGGCTAAGGGAGAAGCTGCTTGAGGGGGCCGAGTTCACAGGAGCTGGATGGGTGGGATGTTGTCCCCATGGGGCTGTGGGGACATTTGGGACAGTTTGTCGCAGGGAAGCATTCGAGGAGGGAAGAGACGGGGGAATTTGAGCGTCTCCCTGGTGGGGAGATCAGGGCGGCTGCTGGGACCCGGTTCCCACTGAGGAGTTAAAAAAAGCCCCGGAGAAACTGGATCCACACGGAGCCGCCTCGATCCCTCCCTCTCCGCAGAGCGATGCTGGAGCAGGCCCAGAGCCGGCGGCTGCTGCTCGACGCCGACGCTGCCCAGGAGCCGGTCACCGTCCACGCCAAAACGAAACCCACGGTCATCCTGCAGGAGGTGAGGGCGGAAGGGAGCGTTTCCCTCTTGCTGCTTCTCCTCCCCCAAGCCCAAAGTGCTGTCCTGTGTGTGTTGTCCCCGCCAGCCACATGTTGTCCCTGCTGTCCCTGCCCTGTGCAGGGGCTGGAGTCCTAACGCCTGTTGTGCACGAGGAGCTTGCAAAGCTCCTGTCCCCGTGCGCTGGGTTGAAACGCGACAGGGATCAGCTCGTGATTTCAGCTGGAATCTGCTGAAAAAGGAGGTGCTTTCAGCTGGCAGGGAGCTGGGGACATGACTCCCTTTCCCTGGCACCTCACAAAGGACGCGCTCACCAGTGTTTTGGTCATCTCTTGGAGTTGATTTTGCCACTCTGGAAAATTAGCAGCGGCAAAACGGGTGCCTGGGACGGCCTCTCCTTCAGTCCTGCCCTGCGTCGTGCTGGAGCCAGGCAGGACAAAAGAGCTTTCAGCTCGGCTGCCAGGGGAGGGATTATCCCTGCAGACAGGCCCCCGAGCGCTGTCGCTTTTGATGCCGATCCGTGTCCGCGGGGACCTCTGTGTGTTGGGCCCGATCGAAGCCGCCTTGTTTCTGAGCTGGCCCGGGGTTAATCTGAGCCGTGTTCCCTGGTCTGGCACTAATCTGCAGCCCCGGAGAGTTGGATTTTGGTGACCAGGTCCCTGCGGGTGCTCCAGCGCCGTCCTAGCTGGATGGAGCTCGGAGGCAACGGGATGATCATCCCCAGGGGCTGCCCTGCCGCTGTTCAGATCCACACCAGTTATCCCTGTTTGTCCCGCAGGTCACCCCAGGGAAGGCCGGGCTGCTCCAGGAGGTTCTCCCCGTGTCTCTCGCTCCTCCTGCTGCTGTTTGCAGCAATTCTCCTTCTTCCCATGTCCCTGTTTTCCTCTGCAGGAGCCCCAGCCCCAGGCTAAGAAGCCGAAGACGGAGAGCTGGGAGCGGAGCGTGGGCGGGTTGAGCAGCAAGGCCCAGCTCGCCGGGCTGGTCACCGTGAAGAAGCCCAAGCCAGGTGCCACTGTGGCCAACGGGACGGGGACACAAGGTGCCACGGCCAGCACAGGTAACGGCCGTGCACTGGCACTTGGGGTGTCTCTGAGCCGAGTGACAGGGAAGGATGGAGGTGACACAGCCAGGCTCTGTGTTGTCCCCACAGCCTCAGTGCTCAGGGCAAGTCTTTGTTGTGGGACAGATGTGGCCGTGGGGCTGGGAGAGGGGGGTTGTCCTTGTTTCCCGGCGACAACGCAGCACCCGATGTGCTGGAGAGGCTCCTTCCCGGCCTTTGGCAGCGAGCCAGGACCTTGGCAGGGCTGGAAGCTTCAAAACAGCTTCTTAGCGCCCAGGTACAATTGTGGGAGCGCTTGCAAGGGTGAGATACGATAATGACAGCAAGAAAATTGCTTTGGTTTCGAGCCCTCTTGCAAAACCTCCCCGACTCTGTGGCCACGATGCCGCTGGGTTTTGGCTGCAGGAACTGGCCCCTTCCATGGTCCCCTTCCATGGGGGCTGGAGCCTCCCTGGGGGCACGAGGGGCAGAAGGGCAGCTGGGCAGGCCCCTCTTGCAGCTCTGCCCACATGGGGAGAGGCTGCTTCAAGACCTTGGGCCATCTTTGCTGCTTCCCACCGTTGCCACGAGGCTGGGGAGGAGGAGGAGGAGGATAGTGCAGGGTCTCCTCTGCCACGTTTAACCTTGTTGGCCCCGTTGATGTTCAGGCCGGGGGCTCCCGGTGCCGCCCCAAGGGCCGGACCCGACGGCGTCTGCTCTCTGCTTGACTTCCAGGCTCGTGTCCCCCAGCCCCGGGCGCCACGTCCTCCCTCGGCTTGTTGGGGACGTACTCGGACAGCGAGGACAGCGCGAGCGCGGACACCGGCCGGCTGCAGTCGCGGTGTCGTCGCGCAGGGACGCGGCCGTCGCCCGCGGGGGACACTGCGCTGCCCGGACCCGGCACCACGTAACGGCCCCCGCGCGGGGCCAAGCGCGTGGACGGCTCCCAGGGGAGCGGGATGAATCCCAGCTCTGCTCCCGTCACTTATTTGGGAGTCCCAGGGCCTGCCTGGACAGGACGGTGTCGGTGCTGCGGGTCCCCCTGCCCTGTCCCCTGCTCTGTGTGTGGGGGCTGCTGTCCCTCCTGCAGCCACAGAGGGACCCTGGGGCCTTGTGTCCCAGGGCGCAGGGGGTGGCAGGAGCTCAGTGTCCCTCTTGTGTCACCTCAACACCCACTTGGGCTTCTGCAGCTCTTCAGCATCTCCTGCCCCTCAGCGCGTGGGGCTGGGGACGCCTGCCCTGCGTGTCCAGGTAGTTCTGGCCCTCCTGGGGGACGAGGGCATCCAGCCGGGATCTGGGGCTGAGGATGTCCCCGCGGGGGTGACACCAGCCCTCCCGCTGCTCCCGGCAGCTCCGCGCGGACCCTCCCGGCGCGCGGGGAGGAGTTGGGTTTGCTCAATAAAGCCGATGTGTCGGAGCTGTCCCTGCTTCGTGTGCCCGGTGCGGTGGCCGCTTGTCCCCGTGGTGGCGGGGGGGCAGACGGGTTGTCCCCCCTCCGTGTGCCCGGGGGTCCCCAGGGGCTCAACCGGGGCCTCTTCCTCCTGTCCTGAGCCCTGTCAGTGCATCTCCCTGGGCAAGACCTCATTAATTAACAAGCCCTCATTAACCCCTGCTTAGATCCTCTGGGGGGGAAGTAGCCAGTGTTTATGGGAGCAGGTGAGGAAAGGAACCCCCCTCCCA